CCCCCCCCTCTCCCTCTTTTCTTTTATTTTTCCTTCATTCTTAGCACAGTTCGCTGACAACGCGACAAATAAACAGGTTCGTCGAAGCCCGCGACGAAAACGGAAAGCCCCTTGACCTTGATTATATCAAGGCCGAGATTCTCCTTGTCCTCCTCGCCGGCGCCGACACCACTGGTACCACCTTCCAAGCGCTCATGCTCCACATCCTCGGCAACCCGTCCGTCTACGACAAGGTCATGGCCGAGATCGATACGGCCACGCGCGAGGGCAAACTCCCTCCCCAAGGCGAGATGCCCCAGCATGACCAGGTCCTCACCCACTGCCCCTACTACGTCGCCTGCGTCCGCGAAGCCCTGCGCCTCAACCCCGCCGCCCCCAACATCTTCCCCCGCCTCGCGCCGCCCGGCGGCCTGAACCTCGACGGCAAGTTCGTCCCCGAGGGAACCGAGCTTACGTGCAACCCTTGGCTCGTCCATCGGGACGAAAACATCTACGGCCCCGACGCCGGGGCGTTTCGTCCCGAGCGCTGGCTCGAAGATCCCGAGAAGGCGAAGGAGTACCTCAAGTACAACATGGGCTTCGGGTACGGTCCCCGCGTATGCCTCGGCAGAGATATCGCCTACATGGAGCTCTTCAAGGCGCCACTGCAGTTCTTGCGGCGTTTCCGGCCTACCCTCCTCAATAAGCAGCAGCCGGCGCGCTACATCGTGAAGGGTGGCGTGAGCTATTTCGAGGATATGTGGGCGACTATTGAGAAGCGAGCGCCTGTCGTCTAAGTGGGTGGGATAATGGGAGTTCAGCGCTGGGCCTTTACAACCTGTACCTAGTTGGACAGTTGATGGCTCCAGCCTCCCAGATGATGGGATCTAGTCATGCCAACATAATCTTGGGTGTAGCGACGGAGACTTGGGTTCGAATCTTTGAGGAATGAATGATATTATGATACCATCGTCACAATAGTCACGAAGACACAACCATGAGTTTCCAAAGTTCAAAGGGCTCTGTCCAGCTTTTTTATTTTATTTTTCTTCTTTTTTCTTTTCCCCCTGGGACTAGCTACGTTGCCGAGGAGAGTACAGGGCAGGTTTGGGCACTCGGCCGTCGATGGGGTTGTGCTGGATTCTCCGGACATGACGACGTTCGAGGATGGAGGGATGGTCTCCTCCGTGGGTTTCGCGCATTCATTTTGGGTTGGCTGGTTTACTTTGCTTGACTAGTTGGAACTTGGATAGCATACAGAGAAGTGTGGTGGCAGTGGTGGTGGTGGTGGTGGTGGTGATATCTTGGGTTTGTGGTTCCTGATAAAAGGATCGTGGGGAGGGGAAAAGAGGAGAAAAGGGGGAGAAGAGAATCATTGTAAAGAGACCTTTTTATAGCTTTTTATCAGCAGTGAATGGGTATCATTCAGATACCCAAGGTTAAGAGTTCATGTTGAGAGTTGAGACTTGGAGAGTGATTCAGGTATCAATCACGTACGTTATTCCAACTGATACAAACAATACTTATGTAAAACTCAATTACTTACAGTTCTCTCCACTATCTCTTTCAAAACCAAACAGGCAAAACAAGAAGATACAAAAAAAAAAAAAAAAAGAGGCATATCGCCATCCGACTCTTCAGCGTCTCCCAGTATAAAGCAATACCCCGCCATTGTCGTCACTGTCTTCCGCATCCTCCGACGTGTCTGCCTTTCCAGAAAGGTTCCTAACGTCCTCGCCCCCGCTACCCGGATCCCCCGAGTCGAACAGATCCTCATCTTCCTCCTGCAACTCCTTGACGGACGGTGGTCCCTTCTTCTCCTTTCTCGGCGACCCGAAATCCTCGCCGACGCCGACGCTCATGCCCATCCCACTGAACCTGGAGGCCAAATCACTCACGGTCCTGTGAGCATCCGTGTCCCCCGTGCCAAAGTACGCCGGCATCTGCGACGTCGTATTCGAATCATGCTTCTTCCCCTGCGGGATCCTTTCCTGGAGGGTCCGCAGCACGTCCTCGCGCAGCTTCTTGTTGATATCGTTGAGGAACGTATCGCGGGTCTTCGTGGACGCGGGGTCGTGCGCATCGGGAAGCCGCCAGCGGGGGTACAGGTTCCGGTGCGTCGACCGCACCTGGACGGCGCCCGGGTGCACGTCGAAGTAGTACCGACAGAGCCGGCAGGTGGGCTTGCTGCTCCCGACGTACTTCCAGTCGTTCCAGAACCGCGCGCGGCGCTCGGGGCCGCTAGCCTTGATGCGGTCCAGGGCCTCGCCGTGGACAAGGACCTCGGCGTGCACGATGGGCCTGAAACTCTCCTTCTTTGCCAGGAGGGAGATTTGCTCGTCGAGGCCGAACGTTTGCAGCTCGGCTGCGTACCCGCGGTACCGAGCCATCTCGTCCGTCGAGGAGACCATGCGTCCGATCGTGTCATGGGCGTTGGTCTTGTTGCCTTTTAGCGGGCTGGGGGCCGGCTGGCTGGACTGGATGACGGTCACTTCGAAGTCGTGGAAGAGTTGGACCCAGCGCCTTCGCGCCCCTATGATGGTCTCGACGTCTTGGTAGTAGGCGTGCAGCCGGCCGAGGACGTGCCGTAAATCAACCCAGTGGTCTGAACTGTCGATTTGGCCCTCCTTGGCCCGCTCAACAATAGCCTCGTTGATCCGCGAGATCTTGTGGTTCCGGTGAATCTCACGAATGAGCCTTTGGCAAGCGAGCATGTCTTGACGATTTTGGTGTTAGTAACTAGCCAGTGAATGCATACAAGCAAGTGAAGAACCAGAAGCTAAGAGGCACTTACAATCGCCGTGTTCCATTTCGCGATTGGGGTGAAAGCCAGTCATGGTCCGGAGCGTTGAGAGAACCCCCTTGATGTCTGTTTTGGACCAGGAATGAGTTATCTTCCGTAATTCCGTAACGCCAACCCTTTGGAAGATGTGGAAGATAAATCACTTACATTCCGAATCTCTGTTCATGCCATTGATGTCTCTGTCGCAGTGGTCAATGCAGAGGTCGAGTGCCTTTGCCAGATGGGCCAAGTAGGCCTTGATTCGAGGCAGGTTGAATTGAAGGATACTCCGAAACAGAGCGGTGCAGAGGGTCGTATGCTCGTCAGTAGCTTGGTGGTCCCATTTCCCGACCATTCGTAGAATCTTGGTCAGGAAGTCTTTGACCTCGACTTCTTGTTGCCCCTTTCTTTCGTTGGACCCCACGAGGTAACGGATGCAGTCGGGCTCCTCGAGGACTGCAATGGCGGTGACTGTCGACCCGCCCTTTTCGTTGTCGCAGATATGGGCGAGTCTGTAGACGAAGCGGTGGTACGCCTGCTCTGCTCCTTCGTTGGCATCTGGTTCGCTGTTGGGCGTCCTGTCGGACACTTCAAAGTTGTTGTGGAATATATTCTTGAGGGCAACGCCAAAGACAATGGACTCGTAGAAGCGACGCTTCAGCTTGGTGTTGGGCAGCATGGTTGCGGACGCCCTTTTTGGAGACGCCATGTTTGGGGACGAGGAGGGGAGGGTGAGAGCAGTAAGAGATGAGAAGCTTGTTCGCTGTAATGTGGTTAACGTTGTGCAAGTGAGGTTATCACCAAGTTCCGGAGTGAGCAGACTGAGCTGTGGACGTTTGTTTAGCAGTCTCCAGAGTCCGAAGATGGAGATCTTATTGCCCGGATGTCCTTTTCCTTATATATCTTCATCCCCATAATCATTTCCAGTCATTCTCGTCTATCCTTCTGTTCTGGGCAGTATACGCAAAGTCGACTCAGTCTCACTGTGGCTTTGCAACTACATATTTCGCACTCGCATCTGCGCAGAACAGAGTAAATGGAATTTGGAGGTTGCGACCACAGCCTCATGCAGGAGGCCACCTTCCACACCATCATTCCTGCATGTGGTTTTCATAGGTAGGACGCCCAGGTGAGTGCGGTCCGCCGGCGGCCGTCCACGCAGACCGTTGGCCGTATCGAGCGGCCCCCTTGGCCGGGCCCCCAAGGACCAAACCCTCATGCTCTGACTCAACAACGCATTCTTAATTGTAGAAATTCAGCCTCGGGGACAGCCTAGCTGCCTATCTACCTTGGACTCAGAATTTCAATCCCAGCCCAGTCATTCCAACTTTCAAGGAAGCAAATTAGACGAGGCTATGCTGGAGGCTCGTTACCGACGACCATTGCCATTGAGTGATTCTGAATTTGACCTCGAGAATGGAGCGTCAAGTTCTAACCGCTACACAAGCCTCCTTGCTGCGATCATGCAACTTTTCAAGTCGATCGAGATTCGAGACCCTTGTCTTGACTCCTGGCTCCCCTGTTTCTTCATGAAACAGTGAAACTTCACACTGTAAGAGTAACGGCGCAACACAGTTGAGCCTTATGCGGGAGGCCCTCTAGTTTCTAGCGAGCTTTGGATGTTATCAGCGACCGCCGACCTATGACTAGGTATGCATATGCCTGTGCCATGCAGCCAAGACTGCTCGGCAGCCCGCCTCATCTTACTGGATCGTCTGGACAAGTCTATCCGAGTTCATATGCGGGAGGGATACCATTATTATTACCACGCTCGTAGCTTGAACACTCAAGCCTGCAAGTTGCGGTTGGCTCAGTTGCGCTCTCCGTTTGCTACATACGTCAGATGTAGGCCTCAGTGCGTGAAAGTAGGCGAGCTGCCGCCTCAGTGTCTCGCATGGTCCCTGTTTTAGCTACATTACATATATCCAACACCAGAGGCTTCACCGAGAAATGGAAAAAGCCCCCCCAAATATCTCCCCCATCGGAGCATGGAAATGCTCACGCAGTCAGAGGCTTAGACCATTTGTGAAGCATAACGAGTTGGAAGCTTCTGGTTTGTCGATAACAGTTGAGGACTAGGCATCACAGAAACACGCCTGGCGGCCTGTTCGTTTGAGCAGTGCGCATCTTCGAACACTTTCTTCCACAGTCCATCCTGTGACTCCCTTCGAGGCTGTGAATGCTTCCACTGGGCTTTAAATTGTAGCCCCATTACCCCTTTCCTGGACCCCCATCGGTATGTGCATCTAGCGATTACCGTTCATTATGTGGGAACCTGAAGCTTGAAGTTCGCTCACTTATTCATTTTTGGCTCTTGATTTGCATCAGACATTCAAACTCTCTCTCATCTTGTTCCCGAAGCATACTACAAACCCCCCCGATTCCCTTCAGGGGCACCACCTGGGCCATTCTGTCAAGGTGTGTAAGTGTTCGGCATGCCATACTCTAGTCCCTCTCCACTCAAACAATGCAACTCATCCGCTTCTCGCATCTCGTCTGATCTTCTTTAGGACAGGTCACAGAAGTCCCTCAACAGTCAAGTTGGACCAATAGTTTGCGCCACAAGGCCATCATACGGAGCGCGGTGTCTCCATCCTTGCCCTCGATTCTTCTTCGATCAGCCTTACCAGACAGGTATACAGCATCCGTCCCCTGGCCATGTCTTCCCAGAGGAGGACTAGCCACCCGCTCCGACACGGTGTGGATCCAATGTGGGAGGGTGACCACCCGGAGAACCATCCCGCTTCTTGGGGGGGAGGGACCCCCTATGATTACAACCTGGACGAAAGGACGCTTGATCCACGGACGCTGTCCCTGTCCAACGGCAATCATTCGGAACTTGGCTCTGCCCAAGGCGTCTACTCTCAGTACCAGGGTAACCCGGCCCCGGAGGCATAGTCTCCTAGCGGTTCGCAGCTGAGTGGCTCTCAGGGGGCTTTTGTCTCCAACGGCACCAACACTCAGCTCATGGGTTATCCGGACGACAGGGACCAGGACGACTTGGTAGGGTTTTCGAACTTGGATCTGACAGCTAATACTCCCGAGAGTTACAACTCTCTCTCTGAGGCATCGTCTAGCATCACCGAGAGAGACAGTAACATGGCAAATAGTTCCGTGTCCAAGAGACGCAGGGAGGCGCGGAAGGCATCTTCAACATCCAATTCGGCTTCTTCTTCCAAGACAATCACGGGTTCGGCTTCCAAGAGGAAGAAAGGGCCAGTGACATGCCCGGAGGAGGGTTGTGGCAAGGTCTTTGAGCTGCCAAAGGATCTGCAGTAAGTCTTCTTCCCTATGCAAGATGCAAGACACACGGAACCGCATCTCTTGCTTGGCCAGTTGTTTCTGGCACATCCTCCAACCTCGTTGACAGACTTGACCCTCTCCTCTTTTTTTTTTTTTTTTCCAACACACGATCCTAACGATAGGGTCCAAACTATAGCAAGCATCAAAAAAAGCACACTCTCCCTGTCCTTTGTTCCGTTGGACATTGTCAGGATGCTTTTCCAGGCAAAAAAGAGCTTGACCGCCACATTCGTATAAACCACAAGGAGCACGCAAAGAGAATTCAACTCCCTCCTGAAGGGGGCATCTGTCCCTGGCCGGACTGTGGGAAGTCAACTACTCGCAATGATAACTTCAAGCGTCATATGAGGGAGCAGCATGAGGGAGTCAACCCGGACGGGACCCCATGGGTTCTGGAGAAGTAAGGAGGCATGGGGAAGGAGAGACGTGTGACGTGTCCAACTTGAATTTGCTATTTGTGCTGAGGTCCTGCTTTCTTTTGATCTCTTTTGTCTTTCCTCCCTTTCCCCCCTTTCCCCCTTTTCCTTTTTTTCCTTTTTTGTACTGTCGTCGGACCAGTCTGTCTCTACTACCTTGAAATTCGGTCTACATGTTTTTTGTCTTTCAACTTTTTTCCTTTCTGCCGTGTCAAGTGTTTGTTGGAGAAAGTCAAGGGAAAGCTGAGTTGGGTGGCGTTTCTGGTGAATACCATGGGGCGAGAAGCATCTAACACTCGAGTGTTAGATGCTTCTCGCCCCATGGTATTCATCAAAACATCACATTCTGGACACAGCTCTTCCTGATATTGGGATACTTAAAGGGAATGCTTCGATAGTCATCAACTTGGAAAACGCTCGCTTTTGAATACCTGCTGTGATTCCTACCTAGACAGTCTCACAGAGGCTACTTACATCAAGTGATATTACTACGTCCACCAACCCCAGCAGCATCTCATCAAGTCCAAACCCCCACCACAGACTGCAGACTTGACTCGGAACCCTCCTTGCCGGCACTGCGCCGCAAAGCCTGGCGAATGAGGTTCAGAGCCGAGCTGCCCAGGAAGACGGGAACCTTGAGCCTTTGCGCCTCATCAACAGCGGCACTCAGCCGGGCAGCAATAGATGACAAGGACTCTCCACCACTGCTCGACCCCTCCGTCGCCGCACGGCCCGCACCCCCCTCGCCGCGAAGCCTTCTTATGATCTCCGGGCCAACAGTCGACAGCATCCGAGAACCGCCAGCGGCATTGATGCAGAGTTCGAAGACCTGGTCCAGGTCCAAGCCAACGAAATGGGCGAAAGCCAACGTCTCGGCAGCAGAGCACAGATGGACACCCCTGAGCAAGTCGACGACGAGGGCCAGCTTATCGTGCTCCGTCTGGGCGGCGCCCTGCACCGGACCGACACGACCCACGCCTTCGGTGTACATCCGGATCAAGCCGGCGTCGTCGTCGGGTCCGTACCCCCTGCCGAGACTGGCAAAGTAGACCTGCTCCGCAGCGGTGGTCATCGGGGTGGCGAAGCCAGCGGCGCGCGCCTCGTGGGTGATGATGCTGGTGTCCTTCAAAATGATGGTGGTGGCGCTGGCGATGGGCTGGTGGTTCGCGTCCAGGATGCGCGGGAGGCGGTTCTCGAACATCCAGCTCCAGCCGTCCGACCCGAGAATCCCCTCGGCGGCCCGGTTGAGGTCGAGACCCAAGTGGGCGGCGAAGCCGAGCGCCTCGCCCGCCGAGAGGATCTGGTTGGCGGCCAGGACCTGGTGGCACATCTTCATGTTGCTGCCGGCGCCGATGCCGCCCTGCACGATGTACAGCTTGGCCGGGTCGGACATGGCCTGGAGCAGGTCCTTCCCCTTTTCCAGGGCGGCGTCGTCCGAGGCGCCCGCCATGATGGAGAGCGTGCCGGCCGCGGCGCGCCCTGCGCCTCCCGAGACGGGACAGTCGACGAGGAGGACGTCGGGCCTGCCGCGCGCCGCGAGGTCTTTCTCCAGCGCCTGGACGTAGGAGCACGGTACTGTCGAGCAGAGGAGCACGACGGCTCCCCTGGGAAGGGTCTGGATGGCGGCGTTTTCGGAGTCGAGGAGGACGGATTGGGCTTGTTGGGCGGTGGCGACCATGCATACGCAGTAGTCCTTGTCGGCGACGGCTTCGGAGGGGGTTGTCGCCGGCTTGCCTCCTGCTTGCGCGAACCTCTCGAGGGTAGGTCCGTAGACGTCGAAGCCGGTGACGGGGTAGCCTTCTTTGACGAGGTGGGTGGCCATGCCGAAGCCCATGGCTCCGAGGCCGATGAAGGAGACGGGGGGTTTTTGTTGGGACATTGTGAGAGGTGGCAGAGGTCGGTGGGAAGTTGAGGTGGGGAGAAAGGTATCTGTCTGTCTATATGTCATTCAAAAGCCCCGAGAGGCCGAGGATGCGTGGGAATAGGAAGAAGAGGTTGGGAAATCCGTGTCAATGATTATCGCCAAAAATAAAATAAAAAAATTCTTTCAATTATAGGAAACAGGCTTTTCGGTGAAATTTGTCTACGTTCGTACCGTTCCGGTCAGGGGGGTTGGACGGTTTTATCAAGTCGAGGTCTCGGTCATGTCGATCCCCATTCCCCTCCGGGGCTTCCCCTCCCCCTCCCCCTCCCCCTCCCCCACGTTGTCTTACCCCAGTTATTACTACCGAACAAGAGGAAATCGCCATCGCCAAGGATCCATTTCATGAGTGGATCAGTACTGCATTGAGGTCAGCTTCGTCTTAGCACTGTCGGCTTTGTTCCCCGGCTAAATGGGAAAAGAAACGCTTGTTGGGGAAAAGCGTAGATGTGGGTGTGTGGTGGGACAACTCCAAGTTTCCGTCATTCGGCCAAATGACCGATCGCGGGAGTCGGGGCTCGGTGTTTTCACCGACCGGTAAGAAGTCCGTTTCTCGGTCAGAAAGCCGCCTTTTTCTTCCCTGCTCCGAGATCTCCAAGAAATCAAATTTCAATAACACGAGTATTAATGATGCATCTTGTTCTTGCATTGTCATGTGTGATACTTGTCCTGGCCACTTCAATCCCGGGACTCGGTGAGAATTACTCGGTCCACTCGGCCGGTCTCGGTGGATTCACCGGCCGGAATCGCGGGATTCTCAATGTACTCGCGTACAGTGCCGATCATAGTGTACATCGGGAACGGAGAGACCCACACCCCGCTTCGTGACCCCGCTGAGGGGTTCCGTGGGGGGTTGACGTAGCGGTGCATCACCCAGTAACACCGTTATACGGTACCGGTGGCTGTACCGATTTAAAGGAACAGAGAGAGGGGCATCGCGGGACTTTTCTTATATGAATTATTGTATTTATTTGAAGTTCTATATTTCTTCTTATTTCTTTTCTGAAGTCCGCCCCCCAGGTGTTAATCATTCCACATGCAGATGCTTTCTCCATAAAGCGACTTCCGCATATTGTTCTACTGGACAGCCCAAGCACTACTTAACTGGATTTTCCGCCCTTTTCCTCCCATTTTGACAAATAGTAAAATACCCTCATATATTCTCTCCCTCTGCCCACCGCCTTCACAACTCCTCAAAAATGGCTCGACCACCCCTCTCCCAAAACCGCACCCTGTCCATCCTCAACGCAGCCCGCGATGGAGGCTACGCCGTCGTCGGCACATGCTGCTACAACATCGAAGCCGTACTAGCCAGCGTCCGCGCCGCCGAGAAGAAGAAGTCCCCCTGCGTCGTGCAGCTCTTCCCCTGGGCCATGCAATACGCCGGCGACGCCCTCGTCCTCGCCGCCGCCTCCCTATGCCACAGCGCCTCCGTCCCCGTCTCGCTGCACCTGGACCACTGCCAGACCCCGGAGCTGGTGCGCCGCGCCGCCGACATCCCCGACGGCTTCGACAGCATCATGTGCGACATGAGCCACTACGAGAAGGAGGAGAACCTCGCGCTGACCAAGGACCTCGTCGCCTACTGCCACGCCCGCGCCATCGCCACCGAGGCCGAGCCGGGCCGCATCGAGGGAGGCGAGGACGGCGTCGCGAGCACCGCCGATTTGGAGGGCGTCCTGACCACCCCCGACGAGGCCGAGCTGTTCGTCGCCACCGGGATCGAGATGTTGGCGCCTTCGTTCGGGAACGTCCATGGCGAGTACGGCCCCCGCGGCATCCAGCTGGAGTTTGACCGGCTCGAGGCCGTCCACAAGGCCGTCGGCGATAGGGTGCGGCTGGTCCTGCATGGCGCCGACCCCATCACCGAGGACGTCTTCCACCGCTGCATTGCCAATGGCATCACCAAGGTCAACATCAACAAGGGAGTCAACAACGCCTACGCCAAGTCGCAGGAGGAGACCCGCGGGAAGCCTATTACTGCCGTCATGGAGGCGGGGACCAACAAGATGCAGGAGGCGGTTGAGTGGTACATGGACTGCTTCCGTAGCACGGGAAAGGCATAAGGGGCGGGTGGGTGTGTTAATGGTCTACGAGGTATGATGGCTGTTGGTTCAAAAAGTTGCCCGGATGAGGCCAAAACGTTTCATCATGGCCATTGAGAAAGGAAAAATAAATAAATAAAAAAAGCAAGGATATCGTCTCTTCTTCTCATATTGGGGATAATGGAATGGGAATGGTATTATGTATAATTATGGTGTCCTTTCTATAAAGCCCGGTAAGCCTCATCCGTCGCTGTCTCGATGTATGTATATACAGATTGGCTTGCTAGTACTGCACATTCGGGTTTTCTTCTTTCATTAGATGCTAGTAGGGCAGACAGAGCATGTCTCCTAGAGCTCCAACGGCCCCTTGTCGTCACCAAAGATCTTCTTATGCCATGGCTGGTTCCCCTTCTGGCACACGCCGTCCCAGTCAACGGGGGTGAACTCCCGCGACGGCTCGAAGATGCGCACCGTCTTCTTCTCGGCGTCGGCCCGGGGCGCATAGTAGACAGTCTCCTTGCCATGCTTACCGAGCGGCGGGAGCCTAGCCAGCGGCGTCTGCCCCTGCCCCTGCCCCTGCCCCTGCCCCTGCTCCTGCTCCTTCACGGCGACGGGCTTCAAGTGCTCGACGACCAAGTCGCGCAGGTGCGGGTAGAACCAGGTCATGTTCCACCAATTCTCCAGCCGCCACGGCTTGAGGCCGTTGATGTACGCATTGTGGTGGATGCCGACGGGAGAAAGGCCGAAGTAAAAGTCCGTGTAGAGCGGTACCTCGTCCCACTTCTTCCCGGGAACGGGCCCCTTGCTGTCCTTCAGCTCGGGCGGGATGCCGCGCACGCGCACTCCGTCCGGGACGCCGGCCCTCGCCGACGCGCGCGCCAGAGCCTTCTCGTCCCCGATGACGACAAAATGGCCGTCCTCCTCGGCCGAGCAAGTCGGAGGGATGGTGGTGAAGTTGTAGTCGAGCCCGATGCCGAACTCGAACTGCTTCTTCTTCCCGTCGCGGACGGCGGCCTGGGCGATGGCCCGCGTCTCGGGCGCCAGGGCGTCCAGCCGTGCCTCGGCGGCCGTCCCGTTCCACGTGGCGGCGAGGCTGCGCATCCACTCGCGCCAGAGCATCTGGTCGCCCATCACCTCGCCGATGAGCGCCTGGTCGCTCCAGAGCTGGCGGCCCCGCATGGCCGTCTCGTCGACCTTCTCCTTGCAGCGCCGCAGGGCCTGGCGGAGGGATCCCATGGTCCCCATGATGAGCCCGCTGTTGACGCAGCGGGGCCGCACCTTCCTGTGTTTCCGGGCCGGGTCGGCGAAGAAGAAGACGCGGTCGGTGTCCTCGCCGTACAAGTCGCTCGGCAGGGGCGACTCGGGCCAGTGCGCGTAGTTCGGCTCGGAACCCGAGTCCCAGCTCGGGTGGCAATCCTTGGCCGTGGTGACGATGATGGACTGCTTCGGCGGGGGCACGGGGAAGTCGGCGGCCAGGGCCTCCCACTCGCGACGGTTGCGCTCGTCGGCCTCGCGGTTGAGTTGGTGGAAGCGCTCAATCAGCACCGAAGGCGGGAGCTGGAACCAAATGTCGTAGGCGTCCACCAGCAGGATCAGGTCCTCTTCGTCCGCGTCTTCGGGTTCCTGCCCTAGCAGTGTTTCGATGATGACGAGGAGGCTCTCGAGCTTGGCGATATGGCTGCCCGCAAACTGCCAGTCGGGCCGGTTGAACTCTCCCCTCCAGTTCAGAATGGTGGGCATCGGATAGCCCAGGGCGACGGCGGACATGATGACCTTGCAAAGGTTGAGGGCCGGGCCGTCGGCCGGCATGACGACGCGTAACCTCCTCTTCCCGCCCGGATCGTCTGCGTAGGACGGTACATGTATTGTTTCGAAAAGATCCTTTGTCACGATACCGCCGGCGATCGAGCCAGGTAATGGGTCGTTTGCCTGCAAACGGGCTCGTCGTAAGCATATTCCTGCGAGGTCCAACTCGAGGATAAGGCGAGGGAAGAACAGGCCAACATACCATGGAGTAGTAATACAGTACGAAGACGACGAAAAATACACAGGCGAGGCCCAGCATGTTGGTGCAACGCGCACTTCTGTAGAGTAGCCTCCTGGGTTTGCAGGAAGAGGTGACGCCTGTAGGGGCGCCATTCTGGCCATCGGGTTCCGCGAACGTGCTCGTGTTGCTCCAGGCGTTGGGATTGAAGCCGGAATCAGAGTCCGACCAATTCGGCAATCGGGTCCTCGACGATGGCGGCCCGTTAACGGCCATGGCCGTAGGTTCAAAGTTCTTTTCAAATCAGGGCGGCGGACGTGGACAGTACAGCGTCAGAGGCAACGGGCAATGGTAGATTGAAGGCGGCGAGTCGCGAACGGCATGCGTCGTGTGCTTGTGTCGTGTGTCGGGGAGAGGAGGCGGCGATCGTAGACGCTTTCTCTTGCAGTCTATGCATAAAGATATACGTAGAGCGAGGAGAGGTGTAGAATCATGGATCGTCGTGTCGAAAAAAGGCGATTATGTTGCCCCGTCCTGCAGGATGAGGAACTGGGAGATCGAGAGCCAAGCCCAAGTCGTGAAGTCGCCGCAAAGTTTAGGGGGGGACTCGGGAGGAAGTGTGTGGCTGTGCAAGAACAGGGGTACGTACCCTGTACTCTCCTGCAGACCACTTAGTGGCTTGGGCAGTGGCTTGATTCGACAACCGCCCCCTTATCCGTCCAGCCTTTGATGACTAAGAAGTAAAATCATCAATCATCTCGTACCTACGTGTAGAGCTTCCGTGCCTACTCGCGTCTTGGTTCGAGATGCTCATCTTCGTCTTCAACAACCCAAACTCGCCAACATCACCGGTATTACCATTGCCTCAGGGCTACTCTCTCCTCCCCTGCCAAACTTTTCACTCCACCCCTATGCCTACACCGATTCAACGATCTCTAGCGACACATTCCCGTGATGCCCGGCCTCTCTCGGCCACCCACCGTCCGCTTCCAAGATGAGGTCCGCACCTTCATCGCCTTTGGCCTCGTCGGTTCGTGTCCTTCCCTTCTTGTGACCCTCCTTTGACCCGGAAGGAAAACGTCTGACCATATCGAAACCCAATCTAGGCGCCGTCAACTCTATCCTCCCCCTAATCGTCTTCTCCGCCAACTACCTCATCATCCCCTTCCCCCGAGCCGTCGTCACAATACTCGAAATCCTCCCGGCCCTCCTAATAAAACTCATCCTCCCCCCGCTTCTCCGCCACGTCAACATCTCGTACCGGCTACGGCCCCTCCTCCTAGCCAGCTGCTGGGTCCTCACCCGCATCGTCACAGCCGCCACTCCACCCAACGTCCCGCCCGCCCCCCGCATCCTCATGACCCTGCTCGCTTCCGCCGCCTCCGCCGCCACCGACGTCTCCTGCCTCGGCCAGCTCCGCCACTACGGCCTCGCCGGCCTCGCAGGCTGGGGCGTCGGCACCGGCACCGGCCGTCTCCTGTGCGCCCTCTTCCCCCTCGCCGTCACCGTCTGGCAGGGCCGCCAACTCCGCCAAGCCATCGAGCACATCCTCCCCCTGACCGCCGTAATGCTCGTCGCCTTCCTCCTCGTCCTGCCCCGCCCGGCCGTCTACCGCCGCGACCCGGACGACGTGTTGGACGACGACCTACAAGGCGAGCCGGGCGTGTTCCTCCTCCAGCAGGACCCTCGCCTCAACGGAGCCGCTAACGCGCATCACGCGGGAGGTGCCACCGTAGCTGCCGGCGGCAAGCTGGACGCGCTTTCGAAAAACGTCAAACAAAACATAGGCCTCACGCGGCCGCTCGTGAAACCTTACATGACGCCTCTGTTCGTCGCTTTCGTCGTGCAAGCCGTCGTTTACCCAGGCATAGCGCGAGCCCTGGCCGCGTCCCTCCAACCGGATTTCTTGCACTACAGTACCGTCTACGGCCTCTTCTTCCACGCCGGCAACCTCCTCGCCCGCTCGTCCGTGCTCTTCTTCCGAATCCGCCGGCCCCGCTCCCTGCTGAGCCTTCTCCTCGTCGCCCTCGCCTCCGTACTTGTCAACGCCTACTTCCTTATTTCTGCCTACGCCATCTTCCTCATGGCTTTCGTCATTGGCTTCCTCGTTGGTGCCGTGTACGTCAATATCTTCGCCCGGATTTTGGAGGACGATATCTATGACGCCGACGCACGCGAGTTTGCTCTCGGCGCAGCGAGCGCTGGTGAGGCGGCCGGCTTGTTATTCGGCGGTATCGTAGGAACAGTTTTCGAGGCCGCCCTCTGTAGTCTCCCAGTCGATGGGACAAGGTGGTGTCATAGAACTAGATAACAAGGCCCAATGAGAGGCTCTTGGTTTGTATATACGAAGAGGTGCGGTATGTAATGGTTTGCGCTTGCGGAATGGGTAACTAATCAATCGCTTGCTTTTTTTCTTCCTTTTTCTTTTCTTTTCTTTTTGGGTATAAATATGGACGAGAAGAATCAAGCCCGATCTAGCAACGGCGTCCCCTCGAGAAAACGACAACGTGGCTTCACCTCAGGGCCTCCCTGCTATCCTTCGGTATGGGCGCCTCCAGCTCATGCACATGGTGTGCTTCTAGCTCCATTCGCGATTCGCTATGCAGCTCGGTAGGTGGCGCGAAAGGTGGCGCGAACGGATGTGTGGCAGATTCGGTCGTGCCGTCAGAATGCGTCGAAGACGAATCCCACCTCGGATGGCCCGTGAGAGTAGTTGTGGGTCCGTACATGTCGACGGGTGTGGGCGCGATCGAGTTGCGCTGGTGCGCCGGACGGGGAATCTCGTGGTAGGCAGGAGCCGGCTGGGGGCCGAACGGGGTGGACGACATCCCCCTGGCCGACTGCCCCCCTTCCGCTGGAGACAGGAGGCCTGAGGACGAGAATCCCGCTTGCCGACGTTGCATACGTCGTCGCCGACGGAGGAAGACGAGCACTACGGCAACGGAGACCAAGATCACGCCGGCGACCACTCCTCCAGTGATGCCACCGACGAGGGCGCTGTTCGGGCCCGGGGCGTTGCTGTTACCACCAGATATGTCCTCATTATCATCGTCACCGGTATCACTGTCGTCATTGCCCATATCGTCTGCATTATCACCTAACACACGATGTTAGCAGTTTTTCCTGAAGGCGAGATTAATGCTCCAGGAGGGAAAAGAAAGAAAGAAAAAGTACCCAAAAACATCGCCCGCACTTCAGGGCTCGACCACTCAACCGAGTTCTGATGCCTAGAGGTACACAGAGATTAGCAAGTAGCCCCCATCGTCATACTGAGACCAAGATCCCCCCCCCCTACTCACCCGTCACTGTACCAATCCCTCACCACGGCCGGAGACTGGTATCTCTCCGCCCCAGCATCGTAATGGTCCTTCCACTGTAAATCGGTAACGTCAAACACCCCGAGGCCGTTCACCCAGGGGTCCTGGTCCTCAAACTTGCTGGCTTCCTCGGATATCCCTTCATTCATGCCTCCCACCACTATCATCTGCCTGTTTCCGGCCAAGACACAAGCATGGTCCGCACGGGGATTGAAGGCGGCATAATCTGCCCGGAACCATTGAAATCCAGGTATTGTGAGGACGTAGAGTTCGTCGTATGCTGTGGATAGACGGCTGTTCACGCCACCGTACACAAATCTACCATCTTGTTAGCTCATAACTGCATCCCTATCTGGGGGTAAGACATGTATGTGAGTGAATCATACATCTCTGTTGTGCCCTCTGGGCTCTTGGCCGACACAGCACAGAATCGACTTCTCCTCGACGGTGACGAACCCCTCGTCTCCTGCCAGAACCACTGCTTGGTTGACGGATCGTACAACGTAATGTTGTCGAACGAAAGGAAATGCTCCGGGGGTTCTCGGTAAAGGTCCACTCCACCCATCTCTCCACTGAGAAACATGACCAACCCATCGTCCGAGTGCTCAGGGAGACATAGCGCGCTGCCTCGGTAGTAGGTGCCTAGTGAGTTGAACGCTGCTGCCGATTCGTTCGTCCACCGCCTCGAGTCCATATTATAGGTCACCAAACCCGGCGTCGGTATCTTGGTCTCACTTTCGACGTGAAAATCGGTCCGGTTGTTGGCGTAACCGCCGAGAATGAATGCGTTGTTCCCGCAAGACACCGAGCCGCCGCCGACGTTCCGGTTGACCTCCCTGAATTCCTCGCTGTCGGCCGGTTCCGAGACGTGCCATTCACCGCCACCGAAGTTGTCGGGTTCGAATTTCCATAGGTGTCGGCTGGTGTCGTTCACTTGCCCCGTCGTTGCCTCTCCTCCCCAAGCGTACAGTCCTTTCCCGGTGCTGTTGGCAAAGAAGTACTGGAAGTTGTTCCGTGGCGCTTCTTTGTCCACGGTCCAATACTGCACGGTTCGATTTGTCCACGAATTGGTGATGGGAATCGCCAACATCTCGGAGGCTAGATGAGCATCCCGTCCCCCCAATCAGTTACATGTCCACTACCGAGTCGACCATGGGCAACGACACACGACAATCACATACCCGCTTGCTTCTCATACTTGCCACCATCGTCTACCAGGATCAAAGCTCCACCGTCGACATACATGTAGTCGCCAGCGACCACGGCTACGAAGTTCACGTAAGTCAAGACGAAGGAGCGGTGCTCAGAAGTCAGAACTTCAGAGAAGGGGCGAATTTGTCCCCCGCTAAGACTTACCAGAAACCCCAGATAACCTCGAAAGGTTACGAATCTCCAGCCTTTCCTGTCGTTTCGACTTTTGCCCTGGCTCGCCGGCCGAGCTTGGGGCAGCTCGACTAGCCCACAGAGCAAGCCAAGCAAACAAACTCGGCAGTAGTGAAGACTTCATGTTTCTGCAGAGCGAGCGAGCGTACGAGGAGCAAAAAAAAGAAAAGAAAAAAAAAAGAATTTGGTTACGCCTCAGAGCTGCCTCTCTCTCGGGAAGGGGAGGGAGAAAAGTTAGATAGGTAACTCAATCTGGTTCCGTCAGGCATCGGATTGGCGCGGGGATCGGCGAAGAAATTCAGCCCCCAATCGCTGCAGATGCAAGGCAGACAGCTACTGAAAAGATGCATAGCAAATGCGTCGATGGCTCGGCCTGTCCGCGGGGGAACCATCTGGGGGATCGCCGCGCGGAGGATTCCACGGCGGAGGAAGAAACGCTTGTTTCTGGGGCCATGGTATGCGGTGAAAGTCACAGTCGCAGACGCAGACGCAGACGCAGTGGTTTATTAGAGACGCGAAATCGCGAGAAGTTGTGGGGTATTTTCATCCTGGCGATCATCGCTTGGCGGCCGACGATGGATGAAAACCGAGACCGAGCAATCACGGATAGAGGACGCGTCTTTCTTGCTCCTGAGACGAAAACGGATATGCAGGGGAATACGAAGGCAACAGCGATTCGTGCCACTACCTCGCTTTGCCGAGCCTTATTCTGGGCATCGGTCCCAGTAAAGGAGGCAGTGCAACTGAAGAAGAATGAAGAATGACGATCCGTATCCCGTATCCGTGCAGTCGTTTCCAGGTGAGATGAAAAGAAGATGCAAAGAGGACGCAGCACGGGATACACAAAGTCCAGGGGATGTACGAAGTTCCACACTCCGTCTACGCCGTCCTGTCATATTATTCGTGAATATTCGATAAAACCGGGGCTGAGCCCTTAGCTTAGCCTAATAGTGTAAAACGGGACGTTCAGGGGGGCAAAGTTCTGCACGTGATTTCGCGTGGGATTCCCGCTGACAAGTACCCAGACGCGTCTTTTCCACTAACAACACAACACACCTTCATACTTCTTCTACCCACCACCAATTTTCCCACGGAACGACCACGAGTAGGAAGGACTTTGTCCCGACATAATCATCATATGACATCACGACACTACTACTGCCTTGGACCGACATGCACATCGCTCGTGGTTTCTCTATAGTGGCGCTTCCTCTTGGGCCATGACAGCACCAACCCCGCCGTCCGAGTCGCCGCGCGAGCCAGAGGAACCACCCGAGGCTGGCCACAAGGATCCGTCTCTGACTCCAAGACTGACTTCTGAGCATGACACATTAAAGTATCACCTCTTGGGTCCTTCGCTCACCAAGGCTGGCCAAGACTCGGTGGATCAGAAGAAGGTCCGTGTTTCGAAGCGTCCCGTCGACTGGTCCCCATTCAAGCACAAGTATGTACTATCTCGTATGCTAATTGAATGATTTGGAATATTCAGGTCTCCGAAGTCATCTTCAATGCCTCCAAGGGATCCAAATTCTTCAACCGGGAAGAGGCCAAAGACAAAATCCTGACCCAGAAGATCGACCAAATCCTTCAGAAGAAGCGCCATCTCGATACCCTCGATCTGTCCCGTGAGCTCCGTCACGCCGACAATCTCGTCGCCCAGCTCGAACTCACCCGAGATCTCAGCCAATGCATAGTCCACGTCGATTGCGACGCCTTCTACGCAGCAGTCGAGCAGCTCGACCGTCCGGAGCTCAAAGACCTACCCTTCGCCGTCGGCGGCGGCGTCCTCACCACCTGCAACTACGTGGCCCGCAAGTACGGCTGCCGCAGCGGCATGGCCAGCTTCGTCGCCAAGAAGCTGTGCCCGGACCTCGTCCTGCTCAAGCTCAACTTCGACAAGTACAACGCCAAGGCCCAGGAGGTGCGCCAGGTCCTCGCCGAATACGACCCCCGCTTCGAGAGCGCCAGCATCGACGAGGCCTACCTCAACATCACCCAATACTGCGCCGACAGGGACATGGAGCCCGAAGACGCTGTGCAGCAGATGCGTGACGAGATCCATGAGAAGACGCGCATCACCGTCTCGGCCGGCATTGCGGCCAACGCGAAGCTCGCCAAGATATGCTCCAACATGAACAAGCCAAACGGCCAGTTCCTGCTGCCCAATGATCGGATGGCCATTATGAAGTTCATGGCCAGCCTACCGCCTCGCAAGGTCAACGGTGTCGGGCGGGTATTAGAGCGCCAACTCGGCGGCATCGGCATCAAGACGTGCGGCGATATCTACCAGTACCGCCAATACTTGAGCCCACTCTTCGGGGAGAAGGCGTACGAGTTTTTGATCCATTGCTATCTCGGCCTCGGCCGCACTCGGATTCAGCCGGCCGAGGAGTACGAGCGCAAGAGCGTAGGCACGGAGAGCACATTTCACGAAATGTCGGACCCAGTCAAGTTTCGGGAGAAGCTGCGGTGGACGGCTGAGGAACTTGAAAAGGACATGAAGAAGGCAGAATGCAAGGGCCGGACGCTCGTCCTCAAGGTCAAGCTTCATACCTTTGAAGTATACACGCGGCAAGTCGTGACGCCCAAGGCGATTTGCATGGCGGACCATCTCTACAACTACTCTCTCCCCATCCTCGCCAAGCTGGAGCAGGAGATACCGGGCATGAAACTGAGATTGATGGGTCTGCGTGTCACCCACTTGGAGAGCACGAAGAAACCAGATACCATGGCCTTCTTCGGCTTCCGACCGCGTAAGACGACCGCCGATCCCGGCTCGGCGGTTGCCCCGGATCCCGAGAACACGAACCGCAAAGCCGAAAACGCTGCCGACGGCCATGACGTGTGGGAACAATGGCCCGAGGAAGAGATGTACCAGCTCGACCACGACCTGCAAGCCCAAGCGGACGCGGTGGTGCTAGCTTCACAGGAAGAAGGAGATTCGACCATCACCCCCCGCGGGTCAGATTCGAACCACCGGCATGGAAAGGAGATCCACCCCCACCCCAACCCCAGCCCCTGTAAACCCGAGACCAGAGCGGAAGAGGAGGGGACGTGGTGGGACTGTCCGATTTGCAATCGGCCTCAAGCCCCTGACGAGAGGCAGTTTAACGATCACATTGACCTTTGTCTGTCGAGACAGACGATCAGGGAGGCGGTGCACCAAGATGTACCGTCACAACCGCCAAAACTGGGGACGCCGGAGACTCCGAAAAAGTCGAGGCTCGGGGGTGAGAAGAAGCGCGGCAGGCCACCAACCGTCGATCCACGACAGAAGAAGTTGTGTTTCGGGTAGACGAAGGCTTTGGCTTTGAATTTTTTTTTTTTTTTTTGGATATGCCTAGATGAGGAACGAGATACCCGACGCCTTTTTTTTTCTTTTTCCTCCTTCATTCCGAGAGAAAAAGAAAAGAAACAAAATACAACAATGTTTCTCTTCCATGGTCGCCGACTCTGCAACAGGGTACTGCACTCTGCGTCAACTACATACGTCAGTTTCCCAAGAACCGGGCTCGGCTACCCACTAATGCCTTGCTGGCTGTCGTTCTTACCCTACAAGTCGCGGTTCTTCTACACATCGGGGAACGAGACGAGCTCGGCGGGTTTAACGGTTCAATCAGGCCACTGATTACGGGCATCCGGAGTGGACGACCATGGACCTAGGCTGTGTCTTGAAGATTGATCGGAGGAACGGAGAGGGAGAACGGAGAGGAAGGCCTCGGTATTAGGGCATCTTATCGTGTCCAACAGACAGTTCGCTGCACAAGTTCCATGTGGCTGTGGCCAGGGGCCGCTGCTAGTGCGGCCCATCATCCCATGCAGGACGCAGTATACGGGGTTATGGACTTGCAAGGGGTCGATTTGGGGCCACTGGGGAGCACTCGAGAGCACATGCTGTACCGAGGATGATCTTAGTCGCTCGCAGATGGGACAGGGTGTCGAATACGTGTCTGGACCTTGCACTTGAGCATCCCAGCTTGAGGAAGGCCACCCACGTCCTTGCAGCACATATTCATCGCGGACTTTGCCAGAGTTACTACGGCCCCTTCATGTGTTTTACCATGGTCGGGCAGACTTTTACACACCAGCTCGCATCTTCACGGCACGGATTTTGTGCGTACTAGCATGGAGTTGAGGAGCAGGACAGAAAGAAGACGAACGCACGCCATATCTCTCGCCCGCTCCACAGAGCGAAGGATTACCAATCAGTGACAGGCGGCGCTTTATCTCCAAACAGAAATTCCGACAGGCCATTCATCGTTGGAACGGGCGACGAATACGGATACCTAGGCCCACGATATGGGTCCTCGGTGACCACGAAAGGGCCGACTGAGGGATTACTTGGGGATTACTGAAGCATCCAGACCGATTCGCAGCTGCAGGGAACGGCGATAACAGAAAGAAGAAGAAAAGAAGAAAAGAAAAACAGATTTTCATCAGCGCTAAACCAGCACCAAGTGGACAAGAAGCATAGTAAACGTATTGCAAAACGCTCACATCGACGAGTCGTCGTCGGAGATGGCCCCATCTTAATTTCGAAAGGTACCCCACGCTGGTGGATATGACAGCGTGGGATGATTTTGAGCCGCCGGACGAAGGGAAGCGGAAGCCGAGAGACCACAAGGTTAGTTGCCGAGAAGCAAGGGGTTTAAGACGGGCGGGTTCAGGTTCCGCGGCGGCGGCAACGCCACGCAGGTCTTGGTATTTGCACCTCTTTTCATTCCCTCTTGGCGTGAATGCTGACCGAACATTGACATTTCTGACAAGAATTTAGACTTTTAAAGGTCGAGGGGCGCTGAAGGCCGCACAGTTTGGCTTGAAGCCTTGGAGTACATGATCTCTGCGAGACGTTTCACTTTACTTCAGTTCCCTCACACTTTTCTCGCCACATCAGCAATGGCTCGCGTCCTTGGCGACTCGGCGACTTCAATTGCCGTTGGGAAAGGAAGAACAAAAAAGAGTCTTCACCGAAAAGCTTCCTTCCTTAGGACGACCCTTAAAAACGGGTCTAGCCGGGTCTCGGCGCATACACCGAGACCACTCGCCCGAGTCGGGCCCCTACTGACGGACCCGGCCCAGTAACCGGTCCCACCCCCTAGCACGACTCGTGGGTCACCTGCCGAGTGGTACGTGCCGAGTCAAGATCGCCGGATGGAGGGTGAAGGTAATTACATAATACGTTGTACATGTACCGACTGATGGACCCAACTGCGCCTCCAGTCCAGTCGTCTCCCAACAGAACTTCGGCATGATCGGCCGGCACTCTTTCGTCAGTGATGGCCCAATGACGTGGAGGTCATATTCTCAATGACAACATATTCAATGCTTTCGTTTTCATGTCTGGGTATCTTTTTCTTTATTCGTTTAAAGCACCGGTCCCCTCGAAAAGAGCCTACCTTACCTAAGGTGCACAGTGTCGCTCCGAAGTGTCGCTCCTTGAATCACATTCATCATCCTTCGTGCACTTACACGCACAATCCTTGAGCAGATCCTTGGCTTTCGTTTTATCCTCGCCGATCCACACTGGTCCAAGCTAACACCAGTGATCTTGCATTATGAAAATGGAGACGACATGTTCAAGCCAGCCAAACAACGGTGAAAGTGGGTGGGCGACGCCTCCACGACGGAATCGTCCCGTTCATCAACTCCGACGCCCGTGGACTTGTGACGTTGTCAAGTAAAAAGGCACGTTTATCATCCCATGCTAAGGAATTAAATTCATTTTCCCCCCTTGGCGTCACGGTGAGCGACAGCCCGAAGAATAAGGTCTGTGATGCTTCTACGCCACACCATGCATCTCACGGTTTCCACCCATTGACTTTGATTCTTGCGAAAGAGAAAAGAAGAAAAAAAGAAGAAGAAAAAAAAAAGGGGGGGGGGAAGAAAGTTTTTTTGTTTTTTTAACCATTGCGTGAGAATATTTGTTTCGTTTGATTCCTTCTTGGGCCTCGAATCCTTCGAACGTAGTTTTTTTTTTTTTTTTTTTTTTTTTTTTTTCATCTACCCCTGAACGCCAGTGTCCACATCCTCTCTGTCGATATTTGGTGACCTCAGTGGCCTCCATTAGGACGAGGATGATTCGCCGCAAGTAGAAACACTTGATGCCATGGGTCCTAAAACCGTTCCCTATGCTAAGTGGGCTTTCGAGCGGGCCCAGTGGCGATGAGCGCTCTGCACATCTCCGATTTCCCTTACATACATCGTGTGCTCTGAAAAGCAACTGAACCCATCATCATTTGGTCTTTTCATTTGTAGGCTTCTCGCTTCTTCATTCATCCGCCCCCTTTACCCCGTAATCTTACAATAGACCGGTCTTTGCCAACCCCGGACCTAAATCACCGGATCCATCTCTATACTTCTCTCTTTTCTCTCTACGGTGTCTTCTCCATTGTACTCGAAATCATCTCTCCACCTTCCCCGGATCAGAGGAATCCCATCGTGTCCTTAGTTCCCTCTCCTGAGTCTCCTCTCTCTCCCCTTTCTCTCCATCGTTTTCATTCCTTAGAAGGATATCAACACCTGTTCCGAAGCTTCCTTTCTCCAACCAACACGGCCCCCAGCATACTCCTCGTGTGAACAGAACGAACGTGAAAACAGAAGGAGAGAGGAGAAACTCAACAAACCATGTCTAGCACCCCAAACACCTACACAGGCGGCACCTCGTCCCCAGTGGTCATGGACAAGGAATACAACCACCACAGCCACCGCGACAACATCAACCAGCACCAGCACAGCGGCCGCTCCTCCAACGTCCGCGAGTACGAGCGCGAGCAGCCGGTGGCGGCCCACGTCCTGGCTGCGGCCTTTGGCGGCGCCCTCCAGCCGGGTCTATGGAGGCCCCTCGAGCACCGCAAATTCGCCAACCCGGCGCCCCTGGGCCTCTCGGCCTTTGCCCTGACCACGTTCGTCCTGTCCTGCGTGAACTTGCACGCTAGGGGGGTGACGGCACCGCATATTGCCGTTCCTCTCGCTTTTGGCTATGGCGGGTTGGTCCAGCTTCTGTCTGGCATGTGGTAAGTTGTCCGGGATTTGGTTCTCTTGCGCCCCCCCTCCCCCCCCCCCCCCCCCCCCCCCCCCCCCCTGTCGTAAGTTGTAACCATTCAGGCTAGCTAACACATCTCGCCCAGGGAAATGGCAGTAGGCAACACCTTCGGCGCCACAGCCCTCTCCTCCTACGGCGGCTTCTGGATCGCCTACGGCATCCTCCTGACCCCAGCATGGGGCATCACCACGCCCGACGGGCCCTACGCATCAGACTACGCCGGCCACTACTCGGCCATCGGGTTCTTCCTGACGGGCTGGTTCATCTTCACGACGGTGCTCCTCCTCTGCACGCTGCGGTCCACCGTGGCCTTCCTCTTCCTCTTCTTCACCCTCGACCTCTGCTTCCTCTTCCTCGCCTGCGAGAACTACGCCCTGGCCGAGGGGAGCGAGTCCATTGCGCGCACCCTGCAGATCTGCGGCGGCACGTTCGGCATGCTGGCGGCGTTTGCGGCGTGGTATAACGCCCTGGCGGGTCTGCAGGATGATAGCAACAGCTTCTTCCGCGTGCCGGTCATCCATCTCCCTTGGTCGGAGCTGGGGAGGGAGATTCGGAGGGAGAAGAGCCACAGCATGTGAAGCAAGTCGTTTCTTTGGATGAAGTCTTGGCAGAGGGGTTATTTCAAAGCCATCATGTCCTTTTGCTAGCATTATAGGGACGAATCGTACGATGTACTTGGATAGACTTGGACCGATGGGCGGTATATATTGTATACGGTATGCTGTATCGGGCGGTTTATGTTTGTGGTTGTGGCATATCAAAGCGGGCGCGGAGAGTAAGACTCGGCGTGTCTTGAATTGTTTGTCGGCATCATATGATGTTTCGAATGATATTTCTCACATACCCAAATGAGATGACGATGCGATGCTTCGGTGACGCTTTTACGACATAAGGTACAGGACCTAGGAGCCGGATGGGTTCAGTTGTTCCGTAGCGGTGGACCGGAGAAGAAACTCGAATAAGAGTGGGGCCGATCCCGGGCCGGAGTCTGCCAATGCCGGTTCCGTGAGCGGAATCAGGTGCCTACCCCAAATACGAGAAGGCACACAACACAGTCGGTGGTTAAGTGTGCCACATGTAGCAGAAGGAGAAGGGCGAAGAGACAAGACCAAGAACGAAAGGTCATTCCACCTGTGTGACAGCCACACGACATGTGGCTGAAGGAGTACAAAAGTAAAGTACAGATCTACAAGTCACCTGACTAAGCATAGGTACCTTACAAAGCATAAGGTACATAGATGTACTTCCAAGTTTATTAGGAATACCCAGCCAGGCGTATCCCCACTCCGTAACAATTAATGTATTTTGGCCAACTTTTCGTACATCACCACTTTTCCACTTTTCGACGACCGGACTCCGTCCTCCCACCGGCCTCGTTCTCGGGCAGCCCCGACTTAAGGCCCCAGCTCAGATCTGTAGGTTTAGCGAAGAGGGGGGGAATGGAAATGGTTGAGGGCGATTGGTGTGTAATGCACTGCTGTGACTATATTCCATGATCCATCCTCTTCTGTCTGCCCATTGCCGAGACGACATCATACGATGGGCTGCGGAGGGAGGGAATTAAACCGTAAAGCTGTCTTGACAATTTGACGATTGGCCTGGCGTCATCATGTCACATGTGGGCGGGCTCACTACTTAGCAATCTGACAACACCCCTCCCAACCTCCCAACCTCCTACTCTCAACCTCTCTCTCTCTCTCTATTCCTCTCGTCAGCTCATCCACTGTCCCATGGTCATGCTCAATAGGATCAGAGTCCGTCACCTCCTGCTCACCCTAACAATTGCTCTCATCGCCACCCTCATTGCACGGTACATGTCCTACAGTTCAATCCTCCACGGCAACGCCCGACAGACCTTCTTTCGCTACCTGACCACCACATTCCGGTCCATAGTCACGACACCAACAATCATCATGGCCACCTCACCAACCGAAGCAACCCGCCCCGTGATCATAGTCGGCTCAGGCCTCGCCGGCCTCGCAGCAGCCCACGAAGCCCTCCGAGCCGGCGCAGCCGTGGTGATGCTCGAACAGGCCGCGAAACCGGGCGGGAACAGCATCAAGGCCTCGTCCGGCATCAACGGCGCCGGCACGCGATTCCAAAAGGCCAGCGGCATCACCAACGACTCCGCCGACCTGTTCCGCAGCGACACCATCCGGTCCGCCGGATCCCGGCTCCAGACCAGGAAAGAAGGCGGCATCGACCGCGCATCCCTCGTCCACGCGCTGGCCACCCACTCCGCCTCCGCCATCCACTGGCTCGCCGACGAGATCGACGTCGAGCTCCCCGTCGTCGCCGCCCTGGGAGGCCACTCCGTCGCGCGGACCCACCGCGGCGCGGGAAAGGTCCCACCCGGCGCCGCCATCGTGTCCGGCCTCCTGCAGAAACTCGTCCGATTCCCCGGTTTCGCGCTTCACACGTCGGCCCGGGTCGCGCAACTCCACGTCGACGACAAGGGGAACGTGCGCGGCGTGCGCTACGTGCGGAAAAGCGAAAACGGGCAGAACAAGCCGCCCGGGCCGCCGCGAGAGCGGGAACAAAAGGGAGAGCAGATCGACGTCTATGGCCCCGTCGTGTTCACCGCGGGCGGCTTCGCAGGCGACGCGCTCGGTCTGCTGGCGCGCTATCGCCCGGACCTGGCAGGCCTGCCCTCGACAAACGAAGCCCGGCCCGGCCCGCACGGGCTATTAACCAACACCCGTAGATCCACCACCAGCGGCAGCAGCAGCAGCAGCGGCATGGCGGGCGTAGGCGCGGAACTAGTCGACATGGACAGCGTGCAAGTCCACCCCACGGGGTTCGTCGACCCCCGCGACGCAAACTCGCCCTACAAGATCCTCGCGGCCGAGATGCTCCGCGGCGAAGGCGGCATCCTCCTCTCGCCGCAGGGCCGGAGGTTCGTTAACGAGCTGGAGAGGCGGGACGTCGTCAGCGAGGCCATCATGGCCCTGCCGCCTCCCGTCGACGACGAAGAAGAAGAAGAAAACGGTAATCGGGACCCAAGACAGTGGGACGTGGCGCTGCTGCTGGACCCCGGCGCCATGGACGCCACCGCCGCCCACCTCAGCTTCTACCTCTTCAAGGGCCTCGTGGAGAAAAAGAAAGTCAAGGACCTCGACCCCGCCGTCATCGAGGCTGTGGATCGGTACGCCGAATCCGTGGCGTCCGGGCGAGGAGACGACGAGTTCGGTCGCCGCACCTTCGGCCGTTGGCGGTTGATGCCGGGGGAGGCGAACCGCGAAGAGGAGGTCTGCATCGGGAGGGTGACGCCCGTGGTGCATTTCACCATGGGCGGCGTCGCCTTTGACAACAAGGCCCGCGTCTTGCGGAGGGCCGGGGAGGAGGGTGGTGCTCTGGTCCCCGTTCCCGGACTTTGGGCGGCGGGGGAGATCACCGGCGGGCTTCACGGCGATAATAGGCTCGGAGGCTCTTCGCTGCTCGAATGTGTCGTCTTTGGACGGGTGGCCGGTCGTGAGGCTGCTGAGGCTGCCAAGTAGACTTGCGAGTCGCCCTATGAGTAGACTGACTCAATATTTCATCGTCTTTTTCAACCAGACACCTGGAGAGGGCCGGGCTGGCAGCGCTGCACGCTACTGAAGCTGAATAAACCGACGTCTGGGAAAGCCATTCTTCTCAAATCCGGTTGCACGGGGGGGGGGCTGTTTTGATCTACCCTCGAGGCCCAGCATGGCAAGTCCTCGTCTATCCAGGTTCCGGCCAAAGAAAACCCTTTAGCCTCACTTCCATGCTGGTTTCCTTCTCCCAATCCATAACCTCGTATCAGACACCGAGCAATAGTCTTTCAGATGTTCGGCATGTGTATCCTCCGTGACGGCCCCGTGTCTCAACAACAAATTTCGAACTCCCTCGCCGACCCCATCATCCCTTCGTTGTCCATCCATCCGTCCATCCATGCATCAGACCAAAAACGTAGAATCCCAATTCGTCGCTCATGCAGAGTAAAATAGAGGGAAAAGAAACGTGCAAAAAATATACTGAAGATAATAAAGAACTTAGCCGGAACGCCAGGAGTGCACAGTGGAGCGCCTCTCCCTTTTCGTGTAATCAGTCACCCGTCATCGACGCGCCATTTCCCAGTGACAAAATGCCCGGCAAGCCTGCCTCCCATTGTGCGCCTACATTCCATCCTCCCCCCAGATCCGCATACTCGCAGAGCTACTCCCTAAGTGGTCGGCCCTGAGCGCGAAACTCCAGATCGCGTTTCCTATTCCGACAAAGGGGAAATCCACAAGACGTGTCATAGATTATAAATGCACCGGCGTATCCAGAGAGAGTTACCATCCCGAAATGGATATCAGAGAGGCGGCTGGGGGTGATCGGTGAGTCGGTGGCTCCTCGGTTGGCAGTGCAATTATAGTGAATGGCATACTTTCTTGTTGTGCCGTTGGTGTTGGCGGGTCAATCCCGTAGGTTACATAAAAGTGAAAACGTCGCAATCCCTCGGACCGTCCCACTCACGGCAGATGATCACGCCGGCGGTTTGGGTCGGGTGGTGAAAATTGTCTTGATCTTGCCGCTAGGTACTCGGCCGAGCCCGTTTGCCGAACCGGCTGCTCTACCAGCAACTTCGCGTCGTCGCTTGGTTCCCTGCGGTGCTGCTGGCTGGGCTCGGGATGCCGGTGCGATCCGGGAGCGCTGGGAACGCCGGCCATGCCAGGGGTGCCCGGTAGCAGCTGCGTCACGGCATGGGCGATGGACCGAATGACGTAGTTTCGCAGCTCGACGTCCTCCCGCGCATCCTCTTTCTGTAGCCGAAAGCGCTCTTCCTTGGACATGTTGGCCCTGCGTATGTTCCTGATCTCCTGTATGATGTACAGAAGCACATCCTCGGGACATCGGTTGCGCTCGAGGGCCGACTCGCTCTTGCGCACGTACCGCCGCGTGACGTCGGTGGCCCCATCGATGGAGAAGGCGATGCAGTACGACATCTTCTTTCCCCAACCTTCCGTGTACAGTCGCGGGTTGTCCCAGGCCTCTTCGCAGGCGTCCACGTGCACCCATCGTTTCTGGTGATCCGAGTACACTTCGGTCCAGACGTGGTCCTCCAGGTTCCACACCCAGCGAACGCGGCCTCCGACGGCGCGGCAGAGCATGCTGAAGCAGTTGGCCCATTCACCGACGCGGCCTCGCCGAGTATGCAGCAGCCGCCACACGTCGGCATAACGGGGAAATCGTTCAAAGGCGCCGCAGGAGGCCGCGGAACACCGGTAAAGCTCGACCCGCAGCGCACCGCAAGCGCTCTCGTCGGGTGTGGGGGCCGTCATCCCCTGGGCAATGGTGGGTGATAGACAAACGGGACACGGGGGGTTATTGACCCAGGTGAAGAACTGCCGCTTGAACCACCTAACACGGGGAGGATTGGTCAGAATGCATTGTTCCCAGTGACAGGCGGCAGGCGGCAGGCGGCAGGCCATGGCATAGAATAGACGGCAGTAGGGCCATTGGAACGACAGCAGCATCAGGGCATCGCCGACTTACCTTAACAGTGCACGAATGACACAGTCCTGGTAGCCCCAGGTGGCCCTCCGACCATCTCCCATGCTTTCCGCCTCGGCCTGCATGACCTGGCTTTCCTCTTCGGCCTCGCTGTATATCCTGTCCAGGGGGATGCACTGTAGGGCCTCGTCCAAGAGGCCGGGATTCTCGTACTTGGTCGGGGTGAGTGAATGGCCGATGAGGAGGCTCCTGAACTTTTGTGACTCGCGGTCATGCGGTGCCGGCGGAGTAGGCATCATGGGCAGGTTACGGATGGCTGAGGAGGACGGGGGGGGTGTTAAGGGTTGTTGCGAGGAGGAAGGACGCGGCGCCGAACTGGAGGCGGCACTACGCAGACTTGAACTGCTGGGTCGGTCGTGAGGTTGCGGAGTGGTCTGGCGGCGAGCGACTCGCAGATCGTTCATGCGCTTGTCGCGGAGGAGGGACTCGAACTGAATGCGGAGATCGCGTGCCCATTCCTCGCCGAGCTCTTGGGACGGCACAGTGCCCTGACCGGGCGGGATATGTCGGCCAGCCATGGCGAGGGTTTCGCAGAGGGTTCAAGGCGACAGTTGAGACGACGGAAAGAAGGAGAAAACTATAAGTAAAAGGAAAGAGATAAGGGTGATTCGAAAAGCGAGGTGAGGTGAAAAGCGAGGTGAGGTAGGAAGCGATAAAAGGGTCGGCTCTCCCAGGGACCTTTGAGAAGTACAAATGAAAGGAGTCAGACACGACAGCCGCGTGGTTGTGGTTGTTGAACCAATAAGTGGAGTGACTGGGGAGGGGTTCGTTGGTCAAGACGGAGAAGATCGACGAGGTTGTGCGGATTTGAATTTTGATGGGACGGAGTCGTCGTCGTAAGCGATACGTGAACTGATGATACACGTTGACTTGGATTGCCACGCCCTCAGGACACACTGTTAGACCACCCACGGGGGAGAGTCTAGGTAGAGTTGAAAAGTGACGAGAATGGGGCTCGAAGTTGAATAGAGCCGAGGAGGGCAGCGCAGCGGTATGGATGGGGCGCAAGGAGTGGACGAAGGATTATTGTCGTCAAATCGCCGGTTGTCGCGTTTCTGAAAATCGCAATGATTGTAAACGCTGTCGCCGTCGCATCCAGGGGGTTTGCGTAAAAGTATCTCGTACGCAGAACGGCTCGTGAACCTCTCGTTGAAGACAGGAGAGGAAGTAGAGTGTCGGAGGAGAACAATTGTTCGGGATGCAAGAACCGGGCGAGTTTCCGAGGGGTTCGATCTCGTGAGTCTTCTTGTCGGTTTTTGGGGGGGGCGAAGGGATTGCTACGGGGAGGACGGGGAGGACGGGGAGGAGGAGGAGGAAAAGATGGCGAGAGTCGACCTCGTCGTCGTCGGTGTCGGTGCTGGTGTCGCCCTCGTCGTCTTCTTTCGTCGTGTCGTGATCGTAGTCGTTATCGTAATCGTCGTGGTCGTTGCGTGTACGACTTGTGCAAGTGAATGCGTGTACTCGGAGGATCAACTCGCACAACCGACGGGGAGAATGGAAGACCGACTGGCAGCTGCGTCTGACGGGCGGAGGGAATAAAACGGCCAAGTTAAAAACCAAGGATTCCCCGAGCAGAGAATAAAGAGACGCGAGTCGCAGGCAGGCAGAAAGAGGAGCCGTGGGAACAGAACTGGAAATGCCCAGGACGAAGAAGCATTGGGACATTGGGACATTGGGGAACATTGGGACGTCTGGGAGGGGCGACTTGCGTGTCCACCCCCCCCCCTAAAGTTGCCAAAGTTGCCCCAGTTTCCTACTGCCCTTCTCGTCGACCCCTTCCGCATGTGCTGTTTTTACGCGTCAGCTATGTGACGACGCACCAATGAGGGTTGACGACGGACCTTTAAGAGTGGATCAGCCTACTCGGAGAGTACTTAGTACTTCGTAACATAAGGTACCCGTCACGGTGCCTACAACGTACCTGCCGTTGTACTTTATTTTACCCAAGGTACCTTAAGGTACCTTATACTGAGGAACCTACCTACTCCGTACTCCGTAGGCACTTTACCATTACGACTACACTCCCACAGTTAGAGAGCAGAGTACAGCACTCACCATTCAGAAAGAAGGGAAAGAAAAGAGGGAAAGAAAGTACCGAGGTGTACGGATACCTCTCCGTAGTATTCGTACGACATACGATAGCTCCAAACGATACCCTCAGACGGGCATACGGCATCCGGACAAGAAACGAAGCATCGAATTAAGGTACTCCGTGGTCCGGAGCCCGTAGTGTACCTTAGTCTACGATAGTCTACGGGAGTACGCAATCAATTCGGAAAAACGTACGACGACAGTTGGGCGTAAAAGCCGCGTCGACGAATTTTCAGGCCATTCCAGGGGCTGACTCTTCCTTTTTCAGCCTTTCGTCGTCGTCGTCGTCGTCGTCGTCGTCGTCGTCGTCATCACCGTCTTCCACTAGGTACCTATCCATAAGGCATAAAGTATGTTCCTGGCCGACTTGTTAGCCCAGGAGGTAACCAAACGGGGCTATGGTAGGGACTAATTAGTGCATGTTCCTCGTTTTCTCGTTTTTATTCTTCGGGTGGGTAATAAATGACTGTCGACTTGAATTCTTCGGAAATTTTTCTTTCCATCCATCCCTCCCCTTGGCTTCATGAGTTGACAGGAGACTCGACGAGACCGGCGGCTTTCTTAACAGTTCGCCAGTGTGGCACCGTGGCACCGTGGCACCGTGGCACCGTGGCACAGCACGTGTTCTCCTACGCGACACTACACCAAATCAGGGTTAGCGTCCTCCGCACAGCCGCCGTGGCCGCTGGCCGCTGGCCGCTGGCCCCCCCCTGTGGCACAGTCAAGTCAATCCCGTGCTCTGCCCAACTCAACCAACTCAACTAACTCAACCAACTCAACTATCGCCGATAACGAGCCTCGGCGTCCTATCCACAACGTCCAACGTCCAACGTACATCACGCCGAACAATAAACATCTTTCGCGCGGCGGTTTACTATATAGTTAGCGTAACTATTATATTCTATCACGTGAGCCACGGTATAGTGACCTCCTATTAGTTGGAGGTGCCCTACTATCCTCGCTTAGAAGGTGGTAGATATATTTAGGACACGTATACCCGCCCCCTTTTTCTTTCTCTTTTATATATAATATAATTATATATTTCCTGAATTAACACTCCCTATAAGTATACTCCCGTGAATTTAATAGTTATAAACCCGGGTAGTAATAGTAACTAGTAACTTCCTACTAATCTATTATCTACGTTTATTTTTATATACTTCTATAGTATTATAGAGCCCTCTTACGCTCTCTTTACTAATAATAAGCTTTTATTCGCTAAACCCTTACTCGATACTATATCGAATAAGCTTAAGATTATAGCTAAAACGCTCGGTATCCCGCGTCTTAAATCCACGCGGTACTAGGCCGATTAGATCTTCTATATCTAGTTATATACGTAAAGGATAAAGGTCTAGTCACTACTTAATCCTAGCTAAAAGGATTAGCTAAATAACCGCCCTAAGTATATTATACCTAAATCCCTAGATTAACTACGCGAATAGTATTCTTAAGGCGAGGGCGATAATACTATTATACCCTCAATGTAGGAGCTTATACGCCTTACCGAAATCGAGAACTAATAGATTATAGCTTAAAATTAAAAGCTTAGTCGCCTTATTAAGGCGCTCGATAAGGCTAATTAACTACTTAAAACCACCGTAAAGACTTTTACCTATTAATAGGCTATCGAAAAGGCTATTAAGAAATATCCCGGCTACGATAAGGAAAAATAAAACCGATACTTTATATTACGCTATATAATAAAGGAACTTAAGAGTAATTTAGCTCTAAGTAGTATTTATATAAAGAAAAAGGTAAAACGAGTATACGAAAAGTATCTATAAGATACTTATTAAGCTAATACTAAAATAGCTATATAGTATACGGAGTAGAATACCCTTATTAAACGCGTATATTAGTAAAAGGTAGCCGAGATTTATGGACCTATTATTATTCGGAACTTCCTAATAGTAGTTAGATAGAAGTTTACGCCTATTTAGGTAGAAACTAAGCTTTAGGAGCTAATAATAAAAGAGGTTTATAGCGATAAGATTTCCGATCTTCTAATATACGGCCGCGAGTTTAACACTATTATAAGCGCTCTAACCACGGATAGTATATGCTATAGCGTTTACGCGATCCTAAAAGACCGCTTAGATAATAATAAAGGCGGAAAAAAGCCTAAGAAGAAGAGTACTAATTACCCCTATCGACGCGAATACACTTAGAAGCTAGAGCACTATAATAAGCTAGAGTACGCTCTAACCGGAAAATACGAGTAGAGATCTAATACCTATATTAATAATAAGTGGTGTAAGAAGATACGGAAGGAGATTAAGCTCTTAAAGTGGAAGAGCTTACGCGAAAAACTATCGAAAAAGGGATAGGAAAGCTCGGAGAGTGGCGGTAATAAGGGAAATAGGTATCCTAGAAAGGTTATTATAATTATCCTGGATCCTACCCTTATCTATACTATAGAAAAGGTCCTTAGGATCTACGCCGTGCTCCGACTAGGCCTTTACCCGCTCTTATAGAGCACTCTTCTTAATAATTATAGCGTAACTTACCTTATTAACTTAATTAACCTGCTTATTCTAGGTTTCTTTATTCCTATAAAGGGATCTATCGAATCCGGTATAACCGACTTTCCGATTATCAGTAAAGGTAAACGGCTTTTTAAGGGAATTCTTAATAGACCTTTAGGTGCTTTAAAAGCTAACTTAAAGCTTAACGATATAGTTATTATAATGGGATTTTACACGAATATTATATCGGAAGCTTTATTATATAAGATTAGGATCTAGTATTCGGGATATAACTATTTATTACGCTTTAGAATAGCGGAGAAGAGCGTAGTCTTATTAAAGCTACTTCGATACTTTAATATAACTATCCTTTAGTATAAGCTAATTTTATCTTTTTCTTTTTATTCGTTATTCTAACCGATACTATATAGTGTTATTCCGATTAATTACGACTATTAATATATACTAGTTATAATAGTCGATTAACTAATAAGAGCTTAGCGATATTACCGACCTTCCCGCGACCCTCCGCGTCTATAAGTCGACGAAGAATAGTTATAGTATTTAAGAGTAGGCTATTTTAGACTAAGCGCTCTATAAGTATTAGTTCGTAACGCTAGGAATATAATAATTATTATTATTATTTATTATGCTGTTCTCGCTTAGCTAAGCTAGGCTAGCCACCTAGGTAATAGTCCTTCTCTAATTCTCGAGGGGAAACCGTTAATAGATAAAAACCCCTGCGCTCTTATTATATAAGTAGTTCTATCGTGCGTGGCCGCTACGGTATCGCTCCGCGGCCCCGTTTTTATCGCTATTCGAAAACCGGATCTTACCTCCGGGCTAATAGCTAACGGGGGTCGGCTAATTAGTTTAGTAGGTGCCGTGTCGGGTCGCACGCGCCCTCGGTGCGTTATCGCCACGGTTACTCGCCGCCGTCCTTTCCTTTATTCCGTTATTCCGGATCCGGCGAGGTTCTCCCCTCGCCGCGGTACCCTTTATGCCCTCTCCCCCTATTACTCCTTCCTTTATTTATTATTTATTCCTAAACCTCCTTTATATACCTGCTATTTATAGCGGCCCTTATGTAGTTATATGCCTCCCTTACTCGCGCTATATAGGCTCTCCGGGGTAGGCGCTATAGTATAGGCCGGGCGTAGCTACTATTCTCTAAAAGGTATAATAACTCGTAGGGCTAATCTGCCGCTCCCTTTTTCCTATAAACCTCCCTCTTTTCTTCTCTCTTTTCCTCCTTTCCTCTTTTCCCCCTTTAAGCTATCGTTTTTTAAGGTAAGCTTTTATATAGTTAGTACGGTATAAATACGGCCTTAGAACTCCTATTCGGGATCCCCCGGTACTATTTAGCTATATAGTAAGGCATTCAACGGGGTCCCGGGTTATACTATCCCCGCGCCGCCCCCGCTCCGCCCCTATAACGCCCGCCTTAGTCTAACTCCCCTACCCCTCTAGATACCTAGTAATAAGACCTCTATCGCTAAAGGGGGAGCCGGTGCCGGCGCCTATAAGGGTAAAGGGCCGGCTACCCCTTAGCCTTCCACTATAAGTTCCCCGCTCTGTTATCGTCGCGCCCGCTTTACGCCCCCGCTTCGTATTCTAACCCGGTATAGGCTACCCCTACCCCTACCGTCTATTCGTCGCCTTATACTTTATACGTTATATCTCTAATATAAGATTATTAGGCTACTCCCTACTAAAACCCCCTTAGTATATAGTCCTATTATAATCCCGCTACTCTCCCGTTCCGTGTTATATCTACTAACCCAACTTAGGAGCCGGCGCCTATTACGTTAAATACGTTAACGGTAACCGTAGTAATAGCTACTACGCCCCGGTTTATCCCCATTACGCCCCCGTTACGCCCTTACTCCGTTAATCCTCCTATTAAGTCCCCCCTCCCTATAACGACTCTGCTACCGCCCTTATCGCCGCCGCCGCCGCCGTCTATACCGCCCCGATACTATTCGTGGGTTTTTCCCCTTTTTCCATTATACCGTGTACGCTATATTATCGTTATTATTCCTATCGTAGAATATCCGTAAGTACTACTAGGCCGTTACCCGCTAGACTTATACCCTCCGGGCGTACTGCGCCGCCCTTTACCGGGCTAGTAGTATTAGTATAGTTATTATCCCCGCCGCTACGCCCCTATAGAGTTATAGTAGTAGCTACGCTTATAATAGCGAGATATTAGAGCTTATCCTCGCCCACCTTATAAGTTACCCCGCGCCTCCCCCGCATCGACTCCGCCGCTAACGCGTATTATAGAATATCCCCCTCCCCTCCTTTAGGGACTTTATTACCTGTACTACCGAGGATAAAGTCGACGAGGATAAGGCCGTCCTAATAGATAGTAAAGTAATTAGCTCCGATAATAATAATAATAACGAATTCGATAAGTATATAGGCGATAAGGAGTAAGCGGTTATAGCGCGATTATAGTATAGCCGTATAACGGCTATTAATAAATATTTTACTCTCCTTTTATTTATCTTTTTTATAATCGTCTTTACCTCCTTTATATATATACCCGAGGTTTCCGCGCTATAGAGCCTTTACTACCCCTCCCCCTTTAATACTAGTTATCATACGAGTCTAAAATCTAAAAGGCGTCCGGTTTATAGGAACTACTTCGCGACCTTCCCCGCGGTCTCTTTACTCCGGAGCGTTAGGAGCTAGTCCTATTTTATTAGTAGGCGCGCGCCTATATCGGCCGCGAGGCGCTTTTATATCTTCTCTAATATATCCCGGCACTATAGCGTAATATATTCCGCTATCTCTAGCCATCTATCGGCGTATCGGTAGCACGGTATCGCCGCGTCCGGCACGCCTTTTATAAAAAGGAAGTAGTAAAGGCCTATTTTCTCTATTCGAATCTAGGTAAGGATAGAACTCTATAGTTTCATAAGGCCCTTATATTTCCTAAGCGCTACACGGTCGAATTAGGGTATTTACGCTACGGCCACGCTACTATATTAGCGTGGTAAGGTACGCTTCTACCGGTACGCCTATTCCTCCCGGAGACGCTAGGCTAATTCTCTCCCGAGGAGCCAGGACTTAACCTCTTACTTCTATAACCCCTAGGACTTTAGGTAGGGCCTAACCCCTCCTCCTTATCTCCTACGCTATATAGCCGCTTCGGCTACTCGTTATACCTAAAGTATCGCTTACTCTTCCTAGGTGCCTTTTACCCGTTATACCGCTTACGCGGTTAGTGAGTTATAGTATAAGTTAAGAGGGGGGACCCCTACCTCCGTTTTAACTACCTTCGTGGTAATAGCCCAATACGCGCCGGTAACGATATATAGATCTTACGCCTACTTACTAGCTAGTCCTTTTAGTACTCCGCTCGGCCTCTCCCTTTGTCTTATTATTATATAGAAGGCCGGGGCCGCGTATAGTATAGCGCTCCGGACTACTATTTAGTATAATTTACGCGCGTCCCTAATACGGTAGCTCTATACTAACGCTATAAGGCGCGTAAGGGCGTATTTCTAGGTAAGGAGTTTAGCTCTAAGC